ATCCTAATTCTTGTAAGAAATTATTTGGTTTCCTCAGTTCTTTAGGAAGCTGAGACCACAAAGCTTTTGAGAGTTCAGATTAAGATAACTTTTTCCTACTTTCAGAACTAGTCTTCTCAAATAGCAAATATGCTGTACTTATATAGCACAAGGGTGCCATATAATAGGGTATTAATATTGCTTAGAGATCATTAATATTATTTAATAACATTATGTTGCATTGAATGAGCAAAGGCAATATGCCAGCTTTTAAAAATCTTGAAAGAATTATATGGCCTTTATTTGGCATTAGTTTCTTCTAATTCTAAGCCTTTTCCAATCTCCTTAAGTTAGTACCTTCCCTCTGAGATCATCTCCAATTTATCTTGCATATATCTTGTTTGTACATACTTGTTTATATGTTATTCCTCCAATAGATTATGAGATTCTCATAATCTATTTTTTTCCCTTTTCTTTGTATCATCAGTATTTAACATGGTAACTGGCACATAGAAGGCCTTTGGTAAATTCTTAGTGACTTGACTTTTATCTGAGATTAGGACAGAGGCAAAGAAGGAAAACATGGCATGGACATTAATTTAAAAAATTCTTGGCATCTATAAAGAGAGACTATATGGACTTTTTCAACAATCACCAGAATAGGAGGGTAGATTGGTTCAGTCATATGAATGCTGGAATTGGAGTCAGAAGTCTTGGGTTCAAACCCTTTGGGAAGTCATTTCATACCTTTTTGGACTTCAGGTTTTTCATCTATAAGATGAGAGGATTGGACTAGATGGTCCTAGTCCAATCAATTCAATCAATGATCTTTAGTCAACACTAAATCTATTGTTTTGTGAGTTTCTGAAGTACCTGGGAAGGTTCTCTCTAATACTAAAATAGCTATCACACTTAGGGAGCCCATTACCTTGAGAAGCAAGACAAGCTGCTGTACTGTGTGGATGGCTGAAAGAAGGGTTTAGTAAGTTAATAGATGACAGTGCCATAAAAGATCATCAGGGAAAGTTAGGGTTGTTAAGGGGAATAGATATCACTAACCTTTTGTACCAGATATCATGGAGGGCAACTATACTTTCTTCCATTAAACATTCCCTTGGAATGGCTGAATAAGTTGTGGTATATGATTAATAGTATGAGTATTATATAATATTATATAATATGAGTAATACTATTGTGCTATAAGAAATAACGAGCAGGATGGTTTCAGAAAAACCTAGGAAGGCTTATATGAACTAATGCAAAGTTAAGTGAACAGAACCAGGAGAATATTGTACACAGTAACAGCAATATTATATGATGATCAACTGTGAACAATTTAGCTATTCTTAGATTGAAGGACTTAGGATGAAAATACTATCCACCTCCAGAGAAAGAATTGATGGAGTCTGAATGCAGATGGAAGCATACTTTTCTTACTTTCTTTATTTTTCTTGTTCTTGTTTTTTGATTTTTTTGGCCTTTGTTCTCTTTTGCAACATGGTTAATTTGGAAATATGTTTTGCATGACTGCACATGTATAATCTATATCAAAGTGCTTGCCTTGTCAAGGAGAGGGGAGGGGAGGGAGAGAAGGAAGGAAGGAATTTGGAACTCAAAAATTATAAAAAATTAATGTTAAAATTATTTTTACATGTAATTGAGAAAAAGTAAAATAAAAACATTCTAAAAAAAGAACCCCCCCGGGGGAAGAGGGGCAGCTAGGTGGTGCAGTAGTGGAATCAGAAGGACCTGAGTTCAAATCTGACCCCAGACACTTGACACTTACTAGCTGTGTGACCCTGGGCAAGTCACTTAACCTCGATTGCCTTACCAAAAAGAAAAAAAGATTAAAAAAAAAGAACACCCAAAGATATCAATTTTTTAAAAACCTAAAAACAATTCCCTTGATGTGATTGTCAGACATGGAACACTGGGCTGGATGTGAACTATTGATCTGACCCAGCAGATAATTCTTAAGTGAGGGAGTTGAAAATTGTATAATCTTAAGACAACAACCTTGAAGGGTTAGCTAGATTGAAAACTGATTGGACTAAACCCACAGGTTTCCTTTGTTTTGTAAGATCTTTAGAGAAGTACCTACCATCTCTTTTAATAAATTTTACCAGTTATATTAACTCTTCCAACCAAGAAATTCCTTCCTAAAACCTCATGGTTGCAATTTAAGTCTTTATAGCCTCTGGTAGCTGTCCTGGATGATTTATACATTTTCTTGAAGGTAGGGACTTATTCATATGATTTCTTAAAGGTCCTTCCAGTCCCAGGATTTTGTGGAACAATTATTAAATTAACTTACTTGAGATCATAGATAATCAAGGATCATAAATGGAGCATGGTTCCTTGAGGCCATCTAGTCTAACTCCTTCATTTTACAGATGAGGAAACTGCATCTCACAAAAGTTAATAACAATATTAGCTAGTATTTATGTGGCACTTTAAGGTTTGAAAAACACAAATGTTTCCTCATTTGATCTTCACAACAACCCTGAGAAGCAAATGCTATTCTCATCCCCATTTTGAGGTTAAGCAAACCGAGGCTAGTAGAGGTTAAATGATTTGCCCAGGAGTCACATAGCTACTAAGTGTCTGAGAGTGAATTTGAACTCAGGACTTCCTGAGTCCACTGTGCTACTTTGCTAGTGAAACAATTCGCTCAATGTCACACAGGTAGTAAGTGAAAAGCAGTGCTCTTTCTATTGTACCATACTTCTTCGTCTCATATCTAGGTTAAATACTCCTAATTCCTTTAATTTATAGCCATAGTACCACTTTTGCATAATAGTCATTTTAATTGTTTTTACATTTTAAACATTTTTACATTTTCCTTGGTTTGAGAATCTCATATATAATCGCTATTATTCCTATTTTATATAAAGAAAGAAATGGACTTTAGGAAAAGTTAGATGACTTTTCAGAATGTTGTAGCAGGGGCAGCTAGGTGGTGCAGTGGATAGAGCACCGGCCCTGGATTCAGGAGGATCTGAGTTCAAATCCAGCCTCAGACATATAACACTTACTAGCTGTGCTGTGTGACCCTGGGCAAGTCATTTAACCCCATTGCCTAACCAAAAGAAAGAAAAAAAAAGAATGTTGTAGCAAACTGGATTTGAGATCCAAGCGCTTTACTCAGTGTCTAACTTAACTGTCTCTATTTCCTTTCGTTTATTAAGAATTTTGCTCGAGTCAAATCTTTTGTTTTATAAGGCTGCTTTCCGGTGCAGTTAGGAATCATTCTCTTCCCAGCTGAAGATCATTTACCATTTCTCTGAATAGTGAATTACATTAATGATGCAAGGCAGGGAAGTATGTCAATATCAGATATAACAACTACCAGTCACTCAGATTTGAAACACTGCCAATCTATATAGTTCTAGCCTTGGAATTGTTAGAGCACAGAAGTTCATTACATTTAATGATCAAGTATCCCCAGATTTCTAAAAGGAGAGTTTATATTAACCATTTACTGTGCTGAACCTTAATGTAAACTGAAAACTTAAGGGGTTAATTCCCTTAAAGATGAACTGGATGGGATTTTCATACATGCCTTATGTTTATAAATATCCACATACGGATTTTTTTTTAATTCAAGGAAGCATGCTCCATTTAGACAGCTCTTCAAATAAATTATGTCCTAACTGAGCAAATAAACAATAAGTAGCTGGAAGTACTTTGGCTGTGTGTGGAAAAAGCAAGGAGTAGAATGGTTCAAGGCTGGACCTCTTTCAGAAAACTCATCTTCATATAGATACTCATTTCTTCAAGCCTGAGTTCCACTGTAGTGGTATTTTATAAAGCAGTAACTGAACTTATTCCTTTTTAAATAGTGGTCTGTGATTTTGGGGGGGCCAAGGGAGAGTAAGAAGAGAATAGTAAAAAATTTTTCCTGATACATAAAATCTGATTTAGACATATCCTTACTGTGGAATATATCCCTACTGTATGCAGGAACTCTAATAAATTAACTTGTGATAAGTTAGGACATGCTTGGCTTCTTTTTATTTTTTTTTTCATCAGTGCTAAAAAATGTCTATTACAGAATTTTGGTCTTAGTCTTGAAACACTAACCCTCACCTAAAAGCAAAGCTATTTGAAAAACTTCATTTTGGAATCACATAGTATACTTACTTTGTCTTTTGAGTAGTATAGTACCACTTTCCTCAGTCTACTCAGCTTTAAGATATTCCCTTTAAAGAATCTGTTGTAGTACATCAAAAGACGTTGTCAGCTTTCATCGGCTAACCCTCATCAGTTGGCGGCCCATTATTACTATTATTATTGCAGTGACTGTAGGTAACAGTAGGCTGCATTCCAAACTTATGACATCTTTGGGGCAAATGCTAATGGGATTAAAAACACTTCTCCCATCCTCCTCCTTTGGGTCATTTTCTCCAAGTCAGACACCCAAGTGCTTTATGTTGAAGCCAAATGATGAAGGGGCTCCATAGCCCTCTTAATGGTAGCAGGCTTCAGAATTCAATTATGTCTTTTTCCTTAATGGCAGTTTTCAAGCTCAGTGATAGCATAAGAAAAATTTACCCTGTAGCTCTGCCTCCTTGTATTTTCCCTCCTTCACCCACTCCCAAGAAACCCTGGGCCCTGTTACCCAACTATGAAACAAATGGAACCATGGGATTTTATTTAATTTAAGAACAAAGGAGAATCAACAAATATATTGATCAAATATGAAGCGCTACATAATACATTTTACATACTTAAACAGGTTAATTCAGAAATGTCTATAAAGGATTTTGCCAATTAAGTTCTGCTAGTGAAAGACCAAGAATAGTCTTGAGATGGGTTACAGTCTACTGTTTTCACTGTGAATAGAAAAGTCTCAGGGTTGGGTTGGATTGGGGGCATGGAGTAGTCATTCCTTATTATTCTCATTTTTCCTACTTCATTTTTCCTAAATTTTGTGATGACATCCATGTTCACCAAGATTCTAGTTTTTGGCATCATAAATCTTTTTTTTTTTTCTATTTCTTTTCTCTTTCCCCTCCTAGACCCTAGGCAGGCACAGTCATCCCCTCCATGGTCATATGAGCAGTCATACCCGTCCTACCTGAGCCAGATGACATCACCATCCATTCATTCCACCACCCCTCTGTCCTCCACCCGGGGTACGGGGCTTCCTGCCATCACCGATGTGCCCAGACGAATTTCAGGTAAAGATCATATTTCAACTAAAACCCAGAAACACACAGTGGCATAGTGGAGATGGGAACAAGGTGGGCTGAGATGATCTTGTATAAACTTAGAGTAATTATCTGTTTTGAAGGGGAGTGGGGAAAGGTGTGGCAACTTGGAAGTTAGCCTCCAAAATGTGAGTGTCAGGTACCCTTAAATTTTAAGTTAGCAAGAAATGAAAACTTATCAAACATTAGTGTCATTTTCTTGAGATGGTACTTCCTCAGCATTTACTTTATTATCTTGCTAAATGGCATTCACTATGGGAAACCTCATCCAATAAGTAGGGTTTCCCTCCCCCCCCCCAAGCCTCTCTTACCCCAAGCCTCCTTCTACTTGTGTTACTTTCTTTGCTTTCCCCGGCTAAATACAGGATTACAGATTGATGACATAACCCTCTATTTATTTCTTCTTTAGGTCCTAAACTCTTCCTCTTTTAAAATCCCAGAAGTTCAAGTAAGCCAGTTCCTTGAGAACTCATGTGTGCTTAAGATTCTTATCAGAAACTGGTCTAGTCTCTTCAGGGTGCAGAGTTACCCTGCAGACATTGAAAAAAGTTATGTGGCCTCAGACTGATCAAAGTATAGAGGCAACTTTTTCTTAGCAGTCCATACAAAACATGTCATGCTGGCACTTCTGCCCACCGAATCACCTACACAAGTGCCCATGCTTCCGTTGTCTGAAAGGCACTGCAAAGACTCTTGGGACACAGTAAAGTTGACTATTTTAAACAATCTGGTGGTCCTCTTTATCTTGGATAATCCATTTTTTAAATCATCAGGAAGGGTGTCTCGAAGACTGCTGACAGGCAGTAAGAGAAAGGTTGAAGAGCCTCTGGCTAAATGACGGCATGTATCATATGAATCAAGCACGTCTCAGTTTTCTAAAACAACAACAAACAACAAAACAAAGGCCAGAAGGAATTGGATTCTGTGTCTGACTTCCTGTGTTTGCCAGACGCCGTTCCCCATCCAAGTATGCGGGCCCCATACACCTGTTTGACTCCTGGCCAGGTTAATTTCTTTCTTTCTTTCTCTTTGTGTCCCTGTCTCTGTTTCTCTTTCTGTCTGTCTGTCTGTCTCTCTCTCTCATTTTCTGCAAAGTTCGCAGCCGTTATTCACTCCGCTGAGTTGCATCACTGACAAGTTGAACCTCCGCCAGCAGGCTTGCAGGTTTTGATTAGTTCAGACTCCTTTATTTCTTTCAACTTGGGAGGAGGGAAAGCTTTGTTTCTCAAGCAAATAGCAGAAAAAGTTCTCTCTGGTCCTAGTGCACACCATATTTTCTACGGCAGATGGATTCTCACGGGGGTGAGTAGGGAGCGAAGCGGGGTTTGGGGTGGAGGGGGACAGGGTTCTTTGGAAAACATCATATTACGTTTTTTCATTGTTACAGTTGGTATTAATGACATTTCTGAGGAGTTATACAAAATAAAGACAGATATTTTCTCTGTTTATTAGGATCTCTATCTCATTTAGGCAGAAGGCAAAGAGGAAAGATGAGTGCTTAGGTGGGTCTGAAGGATGAGTGTATGACAACATTGAGTCTGTACTGACTTTTTTCTTTCTTTTCCTTCTGAAAGATTAGTTAGTTTTGAACAGTGCCATATTGGCTTGACCTGTGAAGACTTGCTTCTGTTTGGGTCCCCTGTTTCTGTCAGCCTGCCCAACCCTTTGTAGCTTAAACAGTTAGGTTTGACCATGTGGTTCCCAGAAGGACCTAGAAGGAGAACCTCTAGATGGGAATAGAGTAGCTGGAAACTTAACTACCTGAGGGATTTATTTATCAAGAGTATTGCTTATATGAATAAATGCAAGAAAGTAGTAAAAAAAGAAAAATCCAACTACCCACTACTAAGAAAGCCAATAATGAAAAGAATCCATATATGTAATAGTTAAGACTACTTGGCATTTATGTTGGTTAGATTATTTTCAAACACCTTAAAATGAATTACTACTTAAAGCATCAAGAAATAGTTACACATACACATTCCCATTCTACAGGGAAGGAAGGTGGTGCCAGAAATTGACTCATTAGCCAGCCTCATATTGACCCAGGGCAAGAGTGGAGAACAGGTCTCTGCTTTAAACTAGTTTTGAACTGAAATTAGTCCAGTTTCTTCCCACCTTCTCTAACATTTCCTTGAATCATTACAAGGGAAATACCTTAATGCCCAGGTGAAAGGTACTGTATAAACATTTAATAAACTAGAACAGAAAATCCCTCTTGTCAGCATATGGTGTAAAAGGAAGAAACAACTGGACTTAAGCTGTCAGGAAGCTGGAGGAACCCTGATACATCCAGCCTTGTTTCCAGGTGGGGAGCTATGCCAGGACAGCAGAGTGCTTACAGAGAGTTACATTGGGCAGAGTTACTTGGTGCAGTTGCCATTTTGAATTCTCTCAGAATTGTTCCTTTGCAGTCTTGTTACTCTTTGTAATCATCTGTAGATTGCCATGCCCATTAAAACCATTTTTTTCAGGGACTCATGTGAAAATATGATAAATCGTGTATTTCATTAGGGATATTCTTAAGGAAGTCTAATGTATCTAGTCCTATCCTTGGGAAGGCCATAGCATAGGACTCTTATAAGTGAGACTATCTCATAATGAGATAGTTTAATAACTAAATCTCTTTGGATGGAGTAGATAGATGATAGATAGATAGATAGATAGATAGATATAGATGTGCCATATTGTTGGTTTAGTAATCAGTTATTCAACCCTTACTGTGCTTAAAGCATAATGCGTAAGGAAGCCTTGGTTTAAGTAACTCTGACAAACAAAAATCTAATCATGACTATATTAAAAAAAAAAAAGAATTTACCATTGGGTTCCTTTAAATACAATCCCTAAGTGCATTCACATATTTGCTTATCGGCCATCCTTTCACAAAAATAATTTTATTTCATCATATTATGCCCTAAAAACATTCCCAGCACAGTCATATTGAAACCTGGTGCTGAGGTCCTGGTACTAGGTCATCCCTTATTGATTTTGGTTATGACAAGGGAGTGTCAGAATAAGGAAGGGAGACCCACATACAACCCCAATCCATCCATTGTCTTCATAATTGTAATAATAACATTATTCACATGATATTTTTGATGTTCAAAGCATTTATGACACGACACCAAGATTTATAATTATTTCTCTGGAGGTTATTACTAGCTATTATATAAATACATAATTGCTGACTTTTCAAAATGTTTTTTTTTATGTCATTACCCTACTTTGAAAAGAAACACTTTGTGTTATTTAGTCTTGGGTATCAGAACCTGAGCTCTTGCAAACTACCTGCCAGTAAACTCTGGGTATATTTATTTGGGGGTGGGGGGGATGTATGACCTCCAACTTTCTTCCACCCATGAGAGTGAACACATATAAATATAAGTAGATACAGAATATATCCACACCCATGTACACAGGCTACAGATGGTACAATGAAGTCTCTAGAACATGGTCCTGTGAACTGAATGATGGTCTTCAAGAGTGTCGTAGTATAGTGGAAAGAGCACTTGATTTTTCATCAAAAGACTTGGGCTCAAATCCTAGCACTGCTACTTCCTACCTGTTTGACTTTGGAAAAATCACTTCCTTTTCTCTGGGACCCAGTTTATTCTTTTATAAAATGAGAGGTTTGGACTCCGTGGCCTATAAGTTCTCTTCAGTCTTTAATGCTCTTTCCAGTTCTACATCTTATGATCTTGTGCCCAACTCTGACACTTTATTGTAGGTGTCTCTGAGATACGTAAGGAAGTGGCAGAGTTGAAAGTCAATGGGCTAGAAAATCCAGGAAGGAATGCTTTAGATTGAGTAGAGAAATTCTTTCTCCATTTTGCAGGTGGAGGACACTTATTCCACAACCTATAAGGAGAAGTGAAAATCCCTGGGAGGGGGAACCATATTTTTCTGTTTGAAACAAATACTGTTGCATCGTGTCTCCTTTTCAAGATGTTTAAATATCAAAGCTGAAAAAATTAAAAATCTAAACATTCATTAAACCCCTGCTATGGCACTTTGCAAGGGGTTGAGGTGATAAAATCCAAAACAAAACAGTTATTGGGAGGAAGCAAACTAAGCAACCTATTCACAGATGTATATAGGACAAAGAAAATCCAATTGGTCAATCAACCAGCATTTATGTAGTAATTACTTTGTGCCATATGGCGTGCTAGCCAATGGTGATACTAAGATAGAAATGAAACATCCCCCTGCCCTCAAAGTCCTTATATGTACAAATTTATAAGGTAACTCAAAATTCATACAAAAGAAAGGGCACTAACAGATGAAAGGAGTAGGGAATTGGGGGAGAATTCATCAAGGAGATGACCCTTGATTTGAACCTTGAAAGAGAACAAGGATTTTGAGAGGCACAAATGAGCAGGGAGACAGAATATTGAGTCTGAGGAATGGTTGGTAGTCCAGTTTTGCTGAAACGTAGAATTCATCAATCATTCACTTAGAAGAGATGAATTAATGTGTGACAGTCATTATGCTAGAAGCTGGAGGATACAAAATCAAAAAATAAAACAATCTGTACTCTCAAGGAGCTTCCCTCCATTGAGGGAGACATGTACATATAAGTAGATACAGAATATATACACATATATAAATATATATATGGGTTTGTTTGCATATACACAAATATACATATGTGTGTGTGTATGTATATATACATATAATTCATGTATTAACTAGAAGACAAATTGGAAAGCTATTACAATAGTCCAGGTGGGATTTGATAAGTGTTTGAATCAAGGTGGTAGCTTTGTGAATAGAGAAAAGGGAACAGATATGAGAGAGATTATGGAGGTAGAATTTACAAGACTTGGCACTTGATTGGACCTGGAGGAGGAGGAGTTTGGGAAGGGAAGTATTAAGAAATAAATTTGAAAAGGTAGATGGTAGACACTTATGAGAGTCTTAAGTGCTAGGCTAAGCAGTTTGCATTTTATCCTATAGGTAATGGGGATCCA